CATGGCTTTTTCAGCAAGCGGGACTGACCTAGGGTGAATTTTAAATAGGGATAATTTTTAATGATTTTTAATAAGAGACACAGCTACAAATATTTGGTTTTTAATTGGCTTTTATTGGGGAAATGTGCTATGTTGTTTTAATATGCTGTGAGCCGCCCTGAGTCCCGTGGGGAGAAGGGCGGCATATAAGTCAATGTATAAATAAATAAATAAATAAACTGTGACCTAACCACTTTCTTAAGAGACAGACAATCCTTAAGGTTTACGATGTCGCAAACATTGAAAGAAGGAAATACAGTCATGGCTAGCCTTGAGCACTTCTTATGAGATTCTGGCCTAGCAAGACTTCAGGTAAGCCTAGATTTTAAAAGTTTAGACTCTGTTCTATATTGAGATATGGTTACTCAAGAGAACTTGAGATTTTTCTTTCTAGATCAGGGATCCCCAACCCCCAGTCCGTGGACCAGCATAAGGACGCAGCATGCCAGCAACCAGGTTGTGCAAAAAATCGAAGCCCCATCTGTGGGATGTAGGCAACAAGCAAAACCACGCCCCCTCCGGTCCGCAGAAAAACCTTTCTCCATGGAACCGGTCCCTGGTGCCCAAAAGGTTGAGGCCACTGTTCTAGATGACCTCCTACCATCGAGATCCTCTAAACAGATTCACCTATACAGGATTCTCTGACAGTGATTTGAAATCAACCCTTTTGGACCTAATGAGAAGCCTAACCACTGTAATATCACTGTAACCTACAAAGATTTCCAGTTGTTTACATGAAGATGAACAACATTAAAACGACAAGTCTATCATAAAAAAGCAATAGCGTAAAAGAAGATGCATATGGCAGCTGTCCATCAACCCAAATGTCCTCTAGAACCATTCAAATTTTTCTAACATCAGGAACTTATAATTTATAGTATTTCATTTCTAATATTAATGCCTGGTAACACTACCTGGTATGTACAATCAGCTTTTTACAAGTTGTCTTATGATAGTAGGAAAATATGGTCTATATGAATTATTGGATGAATTGGTTTTCCATTATCACCTGCAAAAGGTGATAGCTCTCTGCCCCATATTTGTGTAACCTTCATCTTTCTTGTATGAAGACTTCTTCATACCTCTTCCAAACATTTTTATTTCCTTCTATTCATTCTGATTTAGAGAAGTTAAAAATTTGATTTTGTAGAATTATGCAATGGTAGAGTTGGAAAGGACCACAGCAATTACCTACTTCAATCATCTGCAAAATGCAGGAAAACCAATTAAGTCTTTCATAGGCAAACTTGCCTCCTGTTCAGTTCGGCAAGGCTTCAGTGGACCTGCGCAGACAAAATGTTGTCCACAAAGCCCAGAATGAATTTTAAGGATGGGTCTAGCTATCCACCAAAACCATCTAACAATCACTGCAGGACTGTTCTTGGCAGTCATTAAACGGCCAGTTGTAAACAGAGGACTATGTATAATGAACAACACTAAGGCCTATTTTGAAATCCACAGCTCTTCTTTTTTTGCCAACCACTTATCTCTGGTCTCAACAAAGGATTTTCCAAGTGGATGCCCGTTTCATCTCTTAAACATCATCCCCATGAACTGCCCTCATCTTTCTCTTCACAAACCAGATGTTCTGAATTGGCTCCTGGATGCCAGCTTTGTTGGTAGGAAGGGGGATCACACTGGGCAAAAGGAAAACGTATTAAGAAAAGACTTTAATAAAGCCAACTCAAGACATCAGAAAAATATGCATGTTTTCTCCAGATGTTCCTGCAGTACCCATTCATTTTAAGAGACTATGAACAAATTCAGCAGATGCATGCAATTTCCTCTGTTCACAGATTCATGAAATGTCTTAGATTCATTTTTTTAAATTTTAACTAGGTTCTACTCTTTCTCTGTTTCACTTGGCTTCTGATCTGTGTTTGTATTTTCCTGGGTTGATTGCACTTTTAACGACTTTACACAGTATTCATTTTCAGAGAACTCTCAACAATGCTCTCACCCATAGTTAAACCGAGATAAAAAGTCCTCAGATGTAAAGAAATAGGTACTGAAAGCTGTGTGCAGGGCACCAAAATTTGGTATGTTGACTGCACAAAGCATTACTGGAATACATACATATGTGCATTGCTGAGATTTGCAATGTAAAAATGAAATTATTCCCAGTCTCTTAGCTTTTGCATGTTATTCTTTGGTTTCATTCCTGCAGTCAAAAGCATCTAACTTTTTCATGCACAGAAATGGAAGCATTTACAGATTCCCACAATGGAAGAATGGATCACGAGGTTAATGGAACTGGAGGGGATGGCCAATCTAACTCCTTTCATTAAAGAAAGGACTTTGTCTAACTTTTTTCCACATGGAGACTACTTCTGAACTTTTTGCTTGAATCTGAAAGAAATGAAATTTTAATTTTGGAATTTGACCATTAGAACTGTTTATGATTATAGAAATACTGTGAACTATTGAATTTTAGAGCAAATGGTTAATGTATTTTAAATTCTTATCACCGTACTGAAGGAAGTTGGAAATTACTTCCTTTCCTTTCCCTTTCCTTCCCCTTGCATTTCTCCCACTTTTTTCCTTTTTATTTTGTGTCTTTATGTTTTATCTATGTATAAATCTAAGAAAGTGCGTGCACTCACATGCACACACATCTGACTTTTAGCAATGCATGTCTGAATGTTGCTACAAACTTTGTTGAAGCGTCTAACTGGCAAATTCCACAAATCCAAGTCCTACAAGCTACATTGCATCAATATCAAATATGGACTGGTGCCATGATCATTCCCAAGGCAGTGAGTAGAGGAACATCAAATCAAAACCAGTATCACATACAAAGGATACACCTGGTCTAGTGTATGACGTGCAGGATAGTTCAATTCTGTTACTAGCAACTCCAGGTAATGCTGGGAAAACTCCAGCATAGAATCTGCAGATCCTTTGCTAATCACCACAAGGCTAGACCAACCGCCAGACTCTGTGTAGTACAAGCAGCGTGTTCTTATGCACACAACCCCTGTGCTACAGAAGAAAGCTTCCTGCGTCCAGGGAGAAATCAAGGACTTGAGGAAGTACAGTAGCCTACTTAAACACGTGACCGCCAAAGATAGTGAATATATCCTTGCCCACTGCCTCGCAAACAGAGGTGTATATAAAAATGCAGTCGATTTGTTGGATCCACTAGCGTGGTTTTATGGCAAGTTGCTACTCGAGACAAAACATCTCCTTGTATTGAGAAAAGACCCGCCAGGTTTAAGGTGTAGAAACCCTCCCCGAGAGGGAAAGGGGAACGGCCATCACACACAATTTGGAAAGATTCCTGTGCGATCCCAAAGCCCACCATCCCATTCATCGTTCTGAATCCTCTGCGGATTTCTGGGCTGCTTAATTATTGTCTACTCCCGAGTTCGTGCCTCTGCCTTCTGTCGCCCAGACTTCTGCTAAGAGACAGGGGAAGGCAAGAACTTTTGAACCGTTCTCTTTGCGTAAGGAGGAAGAGGAAAAAGCCAAGCGGGGTGGGGGTGGGGATCGGGGCGGAGTGGGGTGGAAAGCCGTACCTGAGTTTTTGTCCCGCCGGCACGGTGAGTTTATTGAGTTTCTCCATTCTCCCGTCCAAGTGGCCCTCATGAAGCGACAGCCAGTCAGAAGGACACTGGCGAGCCGCCTAGTTCCTGGAGGTCGGGCAGGGAGGGGGCAGCGGCCGAAAGAGGCCGAAGCGATGAAGGATCCTTCTGCGGGGTTCCCCTGCGCCCGGGAGAAGCGACTCCGCGCGTCTTTCGGAGAAGCAAAACTTGATCAGGCGCCGGCCGGATTTCACGTTTCGGCTCCGTCATGTGACCGAGCCAGCTTGGCTACTAATAGGGTGTTTGTACAAACATGAAGATCCACACCTATTGGGTGTGTGAACCACCCCCGTCCGGGGCTGGGATTGATCTCTGAGCCTTTGGCATTTGAGTCGAATAGAGTCATGATTTGTGGGGAGGTTCCTGTCTCCTTCCTGGGCTGGAAGGGAAGGCGACACCTTGATCCTGGAAGAGGTGGCGATTTAACCCTCTTGCCGGGACAGTCGTCTCCCGCAAACACCACCGGCAATCAGAAGAGCCCCTTTTCTCCGGGAAAGCCCCCCCCCATTCAGTATCTTTTGTATTCCAGGGATTGGCAAGAAGCAATTGGGAAATTCCACCGGGATCTTCGGGCTGAGAGAACGTTGTAGATAGAAGATGCTAATCTTGCTGCTGTGGATGAGCCTCAGGTGCTTCCCAGCCTTTCCCAACCACTGCTTGGATTTCCAGGATTTCCCGCCTTGCTCCAGCCACCTTACCAGGAAGTGTAATCCGAATCCATTAGGAAATTACTGGCTTGGAGAAAGACACTGCTGTGTCCTAACCTTCCAAAGATAGTCAGTTCTAAGGACTAGTCAAGAACACAAATGAAATCCTATGGCAGTGATGGCGAACCTTTTAGAGACCGAGTGCCCAAACTGCAACCCAAAACCCACTTATTTATCACAAAGTGCCAGGGCCACATCAGCATTGTGGTGCCCTGGGGGGGGGGGCAGGGAGGCGCCTCTGAGTGCCGCCTCTGGCGTGCAAAAACCGGGGGCGTAAAAACGGGCCACCATGCTGCAAGGTGCAAAAATGGCTGCCACTGCGTTGCAAGATGCAGATACAAGGCGCTGCACCATGCAAGAATGGGGCAGGGCTAGTGAGTATCACGCAGGCACTAGCCCCGCCCCATTTGCAGTGCATGCGTGCTTGCGGCCGTGTGCGCATGCGCACATGTGAAATGCTTCCCCCTCCGTTTTCTTCCAGTCCACCAATCGACAATGTTTGGTGACCTCTGCTTTGCCACCTCTACTCGAGCTTGCTAGTTGGCCGCTTCGCCTCCTTTGTGCTGGGCAGGGCTCCTGCTCCGGGTGGCAGTGGCGGCCTGATGGACCTGCTGCTGGTGGCGGTGGTGTGTGTGCCAACAGAGAGGGCTCTGAGTGCCGCCTCTGGCACCCGTGCCATAGGTTCGCCACCACTGTCCTATGGATTTCAGCATTGGGAAGGATAGATGGGCAGAAGGTTTGCTGGTTTTACAGCATTTCCTTGTTGTTACAGCAGTGTTTCTCGATTTTGGCCACTTGGAGATGTGCAGACTTCAACTCCCAGAATTCCCCAGCCAGCAATGCTACGCTGTACTTTCTTGACATGTATCCATCTATAGGCCCTCCAGAGGCTATGGAGGGACTGTTACATGTCACTCAGTTGGAGAGAAACCATTTGCCAAGAAGGATCCCTGCAGGTTTTGGTGGATAGCTAGACTGAGCCTCAAAACTTGCTCTGGGCTTTGCTCAACATTTTGTCTGTGCAGGTATACTGTCGCCTTGCCTGGCCTAGTGTATAGGGAGCAAGTTTGCCTATGAAAGGTTTAATTGGTTTTCCTGCATTTTGCAAGTAGTGGAACTAGATGATCGCTGTGGTACCTTACAACTCTACAGTTCTGTTATTTTACATTTTAAAAAATAATACCTTCTCTAAATCAGACTGAATAAAAGGAAATAAAAATGCTTGGTGCAAAACCAGGAAAGATAATAATGTAAAGTACAGAGGGTCATCATCATTTGCAGGTGATTATGGAAAATCAATTCATTTAGTAATTACCGTAGATCATATTTTCCTACTGTCAGAAGTCCAATTGGAAAGAGTTGATCGTAGTATAACTTGCCATACCAGATAAAATACGAAGAAACAGAAAAAAGGAATTAGAAAAAAGTGGGCTGGAGTGGGGAGAAATGCAAGAAGAAAGAGAAACAAACAAATGCTTGCTGGGGAATTTTGGGATTTGAAGTCTGCAGTGCTGGCTGGGGAATTCTGGGAGTTGAAGTCCGCACATCTTCAAGTGGCTGAGGTTGAGAAACACTATTGCAGTAATTCTTATCTCTTCAGTGCACCACAATACATTCATAAAAATGATGTCTTTCCCCCCAGGGTGATGGAGCAGCAGCTAGGCTTTGAAACACAAAGCATTGTTCCTTTTTAATGAGCAAGAATAGCTTCTGCACAGGAACTAGAAAAGTGACAGAATACAGTATCTAGGAGTTGTGATAGCAGAAACAATAAAGGGACACGTAGCCTGACTTGTATGGGCACTGAATTTCTTCCCCTCAGTGATGCCATACTTGAAATAGGTGCATATGCCTTGTCTCAGGTTTTAACATTTCAATAACAAATCCGGAGCAAAGGCCACATAAATTAAGAGTTTTGGAGAACTGTGCTTGTTGTTCATTAGACTTCTACTAGGGAGAGAGGATTCAAGTCCATGACCTTCATTTTCTCCAATCAGACAGTTTCTCTTTTCATTTTGAAAGGTTTGCACCTGGTTTTTTTTTTAATTATTTCACCAGGTGTGCTGGAGTCTGCAGTAGAATAAAGCATCCAGCTAGAGAACGGATTATATTATTGCAGATGACAGGAAAACAATTATATAATTTTAATACTCTCCAGTCTTGAATTTTGGAGCTAGTTTGGTGCAGTACTTAAGGCACCAGACTAAAAACTGGGAAACTGTGAGTTCTAGTCCCATCTTGAGCACAAAGCCAGATGGGAACCCTTGAGCCAATCAGTGTCTCTCAGCTCTAGGAAGGAGGCAATGGCAAACCACTTCCAGGAAAAAAAAAACTTGTCTAGAAAACTGCACAGACTTGTCCAGGCAGGTGCCAGGAGTCAACACTGGCTCAAAACCACAAAAAGAAGAAATCTTGAATTTGCTTGTAAAGAATATAGCTGTAAATAAGCACGGATGACATATTTTCCCTTGTATTTTTTATTTTACATGTTTATTTACTATTTGCAGGAAGTTTGGGGATTAGTTTGTGTTAGTATAAAAGGGAATTTAGAACTGGAATTAACCACCTACTTCTGAAATGGTGAAATCTTTTCTATTAACTATTTGTATAGTATATATATATATTAGAACAGTGAGAAAACACGAGCACCAGGGAATATGATAAAATAATTTGGTTTAATATTAAAATTATTAAAATTACTAATAAAATCAATTAAAACACCTAGCTTTCGTCAGCTATCTGCTGACGTCCTCAGGGCTCAAGATGTCAGTCCATGGGAGTCACTTTTGTAGCTTGACTAGCGTGTGCGCACGGCTCCTTGACCTCGTTATTGGGCCGGTCATGACTAGGCACGTTCCTGACGCCGGTTCCTTGGTAACGGCTTGCTCCC